TGACAATCCTCAAAGCCCCTGCATGAAAAATGGAAAATGCTCTAAAAAATATCCTCGCACGCTTATTAAAGAAACTGTCCACAATGGATATCCGTTGTATCGAAGAAGAGCACCAGGCGATGGCGGACAAAACGCGTCTGTAAAAGTTCGAAATGTTTATGTTACTATTGATAATAGTTGGGTAGTCCCTTTTTCGCCCGTATTGTCAAAAATGTTTAACGCTCATATAAACGTAGAAGCTTGCAGCTCAGTGCGCGCTATCAAATATATATGTAAATACATAAACAAAGGTAGCGACCAAGCTATTTTAGTTTCAAAAACACCGATGCTGCTAATCCCATAAATGAAGTCCAAACGTACCAGTCTGGTCGTTATGTTAGCAGCAACGAAGCCGTGTGGCGGCTTTTAGCCTTCCCGTTACACGAAAGGCACCCGACAGTCACACACCTGACTGTACACTTGGAAAATGGGGAACGTGTCTATTTTACTGCAAACAATTTCCAAGAGAGAATAACCTCTGCTCCAAAAACAACACTCACCGCTTTTTTTGAGCTCTGCACAAGAGATGAATTTGCAAGGACGCTCCTCTATGTTGATGTACCAAGATATTACACTTGGAACTCTACAAGGAGGGAATGGAAACGACGAATCCAAGGGGTTCCGGTCCAGAATTGGCCTGGTGTCAAATCTGGAAATGCCTTAGGCCGAGTTTACACGGTTCACGTTACCAATATGGAGTGTTTTTGTCTGAGAATACTGTTACACCACGTGCGGGGGCCAACTTCTTTTGCAGATCTCAAAAAGCTAAATGATCAAGAATTCTCGACATTTAGAGAGGCATGTCAGGCAAGAGGACTATTAGAGAACGATAATCATTGGGATCTAACTCTAGAAGAGGCCGCACAGTGCAAATCTGCACCACAGATGAGAGAGCTTTTTGCTATATTAATAGCAACATGTGGACTTTCAAACCCTGAATATCTGTGGGAAAAATATAAAAATGATATGGCGGATGACATTTTGCGTAGATTTCAAGAAGGGGACCCAAATATTTCGTACAATGAGGTAATTTACAATGACGCTCTGACCAAGGTTGAGGACCAAGTGATAACTATCACTGGTAAATATTTGTCCGATTTTGGTATGAGCAGACCTCAAAGAATTGGGGAAGTCAGTGATGATTTAATGCGAGAGCTAAATTATGATCCAGTTTTGTTACAGCAACAAATTACAGAGGCCCTTCCACTTTTAAATCCAGAACAAAGATTAGTCTTTGACACAATAATCAACAAAGTTGCCAGTGGCGAAGGTGGTTTGTTCTTTTTGGATGCTCCAGGAGGTACCGGCAAAACCTTTCTTCTAAACTTATTATTAGCTGAAATCCGGAAAGATAAAGGAGTTGCTGTGGCAGTAGCTTCATCCGGAATAGCTGCTACGCTGCTTAGTGGAGGACGAACAGCCCACTCAGTTCTGTAATTGCCACTAAATTTAGCTCATGAGGAAATGCCAGTTTGTAACATAAGTAAAAGTAGTGAGCGTGGAAGAATGTTACAACAATGTAAACTGCTGGTGTGGGATGAATGTACGATGGCCCATAAAAGAGCAATCGAAGCACTTCATCGCACGATGAAAGACATTAAAAACAGTCAAAGTATTATGGGAGGAATGGTAGTTCTATTGGCCGGTGACTTCCGGCAGACCCTGCCGGTTATAGCAAGGGGCACACCGGCAGATGAAATCAATGCCTGTTTAAAAGCATCTGTGCTATGGACACATGTGAAAAAGGTTTCACTGTCGACGAATATGCGAGTATTACTCCATAATGACTGTCAAGCCGGGCAGTATGCTGCTGCTCTTCTGAAGATCGGCGAAGATCGTATGCCTACCGACTCCGAGAGTATGATCACGCTGAGCAGCGAATTATGCCAAATTTTGGATATCACATACAATTTAAAAAATAGTGTCTATCCCGATCTACGCGCCAATATCGAAAATCGGGAATGGTTATGCGAAAGGGCAATATTGGCGCCAACAAATGAAATAGTAGGCCGGATAAATTACCAAATTATGTTTGACATAGAGGGAGATGTCATCGAGTATCTATCAGTAGATAACGTCGTGGATACCGAGCAAGTGACATGTTACCCAACAGAGTTTCTCAACTCCTTAGAGTTATCAGGAGTGCCTTCTCATAAGTTGAGGCTGAAAGTTGGTGTTCCTGTGATGCTTATGAGAAACCTTGATCCACCAAGGCTATGCAACGGTACACGGTTACAAATAACCTATTTAGGACGGAATGTCATTAAAGCCGTTATTATGACTGGAATGGCAAAAGGCGAAACTGTAATTATTCCCCGCATTCCCATCATTCCAACTGATTTGCCATTCCAATACAAAAGAGTTCAGTTTCCGCTGAAAACTGCGTTTGCAATGACCATAAATAAAGCCCAAGGGCAAACGCTAAAAGTTGCGGGGGTACCTTGAAAAAGACTGTTTCTCCCATGGGCAACTCTACGTTGCGTGCTCAAGAGTGTCAAAACCACAAAACCTTTACATTTTTGCAAAGGATGCCAAAACTAAAAACGTGGTATACAGAACTGTCTTGGTGTAAGAAACATTCATAATCTGTAAGCCTAAAATAATAGAAAATTTGCCAATGAAAGAAACAGTCTTTTTTTCCTTTTGAACTGAAATGACAAATCAGTAGAATGATGGGAAAATAAGGAAAAATAACATTATCGCCTTTTTCGATCGGCAATAACGGCTTTAATGCCCTAAGTGAGAATACATCTCTTAAATTGAAACGCAGAGCTCATTCTTTTGATTTTTGAAGAGTTTTCTGGGATATCTTCCACATTTCAGACTGATCAAATTTATAGGGCAACCACACTGACACTTTACTCTACAAAAGAATTTCTCAAATCGGTCTATAACTGATATGCCTTAATATACATAAAAAAATACGGTCGAATTGAGAACCTCCTCCTTTTTTTGAAGTGGGTTAAAAACTTTCTACTCAAAGTAAATTTACGGACGAAGTCGCGGGCAAAACTACCCACGCTAAAAATGCGATAATAACTCTGTCTATCTGTCTTTCCGTCACGCCTAAACTACTGAACAGATTTGGATGAAATTTGGTACAGACATAGTTTGTACCAAATTTCATCCAAAAATCCTGCGGGAGCGGGAACTTCTCAAAAATCCCGCGAGATCGGGAACTATGTGGGTAAAACCAAAAATCTGCCGGAAGTCACTATTCCACGCGAACGAAGTCGCGGGCAAAAGCTAGTATATAATAAATTACCAGATGACATTAAAAATGAACAAAAATGTAATATCTTGATAAATAAATTAAAAAAACTTTTAATACATAAATGCTATTATAATGTACAGGAATATTTAAATGATAAATTTAATAAATAAAGTAAAAATAACACAAAGTAAAAATAATGTATTTGTTCAATTAGTTATAAGTTATATAAGCCTATCTACATAAAAACAATGAAAAATTGTAAACATATATTTATACTAGCCCTCCTCATAAAAACTACTACTATTGTTATGCCCGACAGGGCCCACAATGCTCCTAAACTAATATAAGTATGTAAATCCTTATGTACCCTACCACCTAAGTTCACATTGTGGAATGCAATAAATATATTGAGTATTGAGTATTGAGTATTTGATAACAAAACAAATGACTGACACCGAATTACTTGAACACTTGAACACTCGTAGGAAGTAGGGCCGCTAGTTTCTTTATATTTTACTTTCAAGTTCTTAATGTCTCGTTATATTTTTAAAGTGGTTTTATTTCGATGATCAAGTGAGAAGCAGAGGTAGTCAACCAATAAAATTGAAAAAAAAATGTCAGGCGTTTCTTCCCCATACCTATACTTAAAACACGTCTTATTTGAAGCATGTACAATATTTTGAAAAAACAAAATCATCAGCAGTTTTAAAGTCGTAAATTACGAAAAAGAACACAAATATAGAAAATGGTGCGCCTTACTAATTATATTTTTAGCAAAATCACATCGATGTCAATGGTGCAACAGTCCTTAGCCAAATATATTGCTGTTGAAATTCAGTAAGGCGCACTATAATAATAAGAACAGTAAATTAAAAATTAAATCACTATGATTCAAATTCTTGACCAAGTTTTAACCTCTCCTCTACCGGTATATGAGACACAATAGAAAACATATTGTGTCGCGCGTGGATCTGCGTTTCGGCATATAACGGATTAATGACTAAAATAATTTACATCTTGCTTTTACCTTTCGCCTGACATATGATTAATATAGTGCGTCTTACTGAATTTCAACAGCAATAGATTTGGCTAAGCCATATTGCACCATTGACATCGATGTGATTTTGGCAAAAATATAATACTTACCGGGCACGGAAGTGTCAGAGAAGGACCCTGTTAGTTTTTAATAAGTAAAAGTTTGAAATTTTGTCTCGCTCCACTCATGTCCCTAGAAGACCCTCAATGTCTTCTATTTAGTTTGTGTTTCTATTTTCCTTTTCAAAAGAGTTGTTTCATGCCATGCCTTTCTTACATATTTTATTTTGCCTCAGTAACCATGGTTGTCCAATCATGTCATGTCCAATCATGGCCATTTATTTTATTAACCACTGGGGTTCGGACACTACACATTGACAAAGTTTAGGAAACAAAGAGTAAGGTTTAAAAAAGAGGATCCTGAGACCAGGTGATGTCACCAGCCTGACGGGCTATTATCCCGCAATTGTACGTTGGGATTTTCTATACGCGATAAATCACGCGCAAATCAGCTTGCGTGTTGAAATATTTGTGAAGCCATATGTTGTCAATGTTCAAAGTGTGTTGCTACAGGGTTGGCTTATAGTTTAAAATAACAGATTTATCAGCAGGCACTCCTGTCTCATCATTGCTTAGTGTTTAAAATATTAATTCGGTTGATGTTCTTACTATTTCTAAGAAAAACAAGAGTGGTGAACCAAAACTACCAAAATCTATTATTTATAGTTTATTAAAATCAGTCAAATAATTAACAATATCGGATTGGTTTCAATAAATTGACTATTGCTTGGTAACTAAATATTTACAACAATTACTTAATAATGAACTAATCTTATTAACTACGCTTTGATTTTTTAGCTTTAGTAGTTGTGGTAACAGTATTTCCAAAAACAATTTTGTAAAGGAACCGAAGACCTATTAATAACACTGAAATTACTGCTAACAGTCCTAATAGTAGGGTTAAAACTAATTCTAGTTCGAGGTACTCTGCCCACGACATGTTGGCGGCAGGTCCTCGCAGATGTCTCGCACCGCCGTGACGCAGTACGTACTCCGTCCACCATACGGCGCGCTCTAGCGGAGGCATTGGTTCATCTTGAATAATGCGACGCAATTTCACAATGTTCTCTCGATAGCTGAAAAGTAGTTAAATAGTGATTAGACATGTAGTTAAAATACAATACGATATAAAAGAAACTGATCACAGTGTGAGTAAGATTACAGGATTCCAAATTGTTCCCAAAACTCCTGTTACAAACCTCTATTATCAACAACCCGATCCCAAACTCCCCATATCCAAAAAGGTTGGTAACGCGCTCGCAAGTTACTTCTCTGATATCAGGTAGACCTGTTTGCTAACCATCAGGCATTCCGTATATTCGTGTACCACCATATTTAGATATTTAAACATCCTTCCACATACATTTAATTCTTACCTTCCATCATTGATGACAGTGTTGATCGCATTTGTAAATTCTTCCACAGTCAATTTCTCCATGGAAAGCTTTTTACCAATGTTGAAGTACTCGTATCGTTCTGCATTGAAAAATTGATCTCCAAACATAGGAATGGCAACTAGAGGCACTCCTGCTGATATAGCCTCGTCTGTTGACTGCAAACCAGCTTGCGTGATGAACAGCTTGAGTTTTGGGTGATCTGTAACAATAATACATGTATTATAAAATAAATTTGTGAACCAGAGTTGTGAACATAGAATCTGAGAAGGATAAAAAGGTGGTAACAATTAAAGTTTGAGAAAATAATAAATGATATACAGAAAACAATAATTCAGATAATTGATGACTCTGACTCAAAGAGTAAAAAAAAAACAGACAAAATTGAAAAATAATTATAAGAAGAGATATTGATTCAAAAATTTATTACATGGACGGCGACAAGATGTTACCATTCAAGATTTAAGGCATTTGTTGCGAGTAATCTTAAGGCGTATAATATACTTACTGAGAAGATCAGTCTGTGGCAGCCATTTTGCTATCCTAATGTTCTCCGTACGTCCAGGCAGAACATCATTATTCCATTTCCATAGAATATCGTAAGGCAACTGAGATAATGTTTTCACGAGAACTTCAATCCTGTCAGCTGGGAATGTAGTAGGATCCACGTTTGTACCGAAGCTTACGTATATCACGCCATTTTTAGAAGAATCCATGTAAGATTGCAGATCCTGAAATCGATTTAAATCATTTTTCATTAGAAAATTTGTAATTTTAAATCACTGATAAAGAAATCTTACAGTAGCATTTTACGAATGCAGATCATGTGTATACGAGTATCTACACATTGTAAATATTATTCCGTTTTATTTTTCAATGTATTTTTATGGATTGAAGTTTAAATTATATTAGAGCCTAATACTATAACCATGCGTTATATTTATTTTATACTTCTAAATGAAGCTGATTATTGCTTATGAAAATACAGGTATGATTTAGGTTTACTGACTTATGACTAAAACAATTTTATTATTTTTTCTTTTGTTAGAGCTACTTCTATGTGTGTCCGGTTCGTGACCTACACTATAAACTACGCTTTTCTGTTAGTTTTCTCTATTAGACTATCGACAATGCAGCAGCATCTTGTAGAAAATTTTTTTAGAATCCTCTTCATAGCAGAAAAAGAATATGAACAAGTTTAAAATTAGGAAAACCAAATTACTACTCTCAAGTCAACCTTCAACAGGGATGCCGAAATGATTTCAGGAAAAACATACAAATATTGCTGTATTTATTTATATACCGCTTAATCACTATAATTACGTAAACAAGCTAGCAAGTTCACACGTTCTCATGTTTGAATAATAGCAATACCTATAAATATCAGACATAAGCTGATTATTTTTATCTATGTACTTATACGTTGATAATAACTAGGAAACTGCTTCAGCTTGATATTATACAAACCAGAGTAAGAATCAAAATAAGGATTGGCCTAATTAAAGCTACTACTATAGTTTAGCTTAAATTGGTATAGTTAAAATTAGATTCACGTTCGAATACTTCATGGTAAAGTACTTCTATACACAGAGCCAGCTAAAGGTCTACAAGCTCTTAGGAGTTTCGAAAAAAAAAACTTTATAAGGAATTTATATTAGGGTATCTTCAGATGTGTGAATTGAGGATAGTGTTCGGAGAAGCTACACAACTTCTTTCCCTCTAGTTATTTCTATCATCCTACTACCAGAAAATCTGTTAAATGTCACTGCCTTGTGATAGACATCCCACCCACACGCAGAAAGCAATTCGCCTCCAGTTTTATCACAAAAATAAACTCTGAGTGTGGTTAATCTTGTAACTTATTTTTATAATCTTATCTTTATTGTTTTAATATACATTTCATATCACATACCTTCGGCAACGGCTTGTAAGGAACTTGATGTAAACCTCCCAAATACACAACAGAAGGAGGCACTGGTCGTATACCTTCAAATACTGGATTCACATTCAGGAACAGCATATCAACATTATTATTTAATTCAGCAATTGGAGGAACATCTCTGAAATGCTTTCGAAGCATTTCATTCTCTTTCTCCATATTATTTTCGTACAATCTGGTGAGCATAAAATCATTGTAGAATTCCTTAATTTTCTCGATCATAGTCAGATTATTCAGCCTCTGTCGTGTTAATGCAGGATACAGGAATGGATGTATCGGCACACCAAAATTAGGATAATTATCAAAAGTAGCAAAGAATGAACTTATTTGAATCACTGGTATTTTATAAATATGAGAAAATACTAAGGCTGGTCTCACACAAGCTTCCACGAGTAATAGATCAAATTGTTTACTCTTATCACGTATCAAATTTTGTATTTTATCATCTTTAAGTTGAGCATCTACAACTGCAGTTAGGGCATTCACTATAGCACTCATTGCCATTACTACATCATCTTTATTCCCTTTAGTTGAAGTCAAGAATATATTCTTCCATAAGTCGTAGGAAATATCATGGACGTCGATTTCAGTTAAATTTGCTGGGGTTTTACCTTCGGGGAATGCAGGGTCTGTTGTGATGACGGTGACTTCGTGACCTCTTTTGGCTAGTTCCTGTGTTAAAGGTCGAAACACTACTTGATGACTTATTGATGGATTCGGAAATACAGCCAAAATTCTTGCTGCCTCATAATGTCCAGCGAATATGCTTAGGCACAGAAATAAATACATAAATATCTTCATTGTTTAACGAGTGAATCAGTAACGCACCGATGTCTACGACCGTCAACGCTACACTGAACGTAATCCGTGTGTTTTGAAGTTCAATAACCAGCGTATCTATATGTAGTTTGATTTTAGATAAAAAGTGGGCTTAACCTTCCACAACTGACGTGGCTCAATATTTTTACTATTTCACTGACGTGGTAGTACCGATACGAGATATTATTTTAGCAGCAAATATTTTTGTAAAATTAATAATACAGTGTCATTTACTTAAGCCTAGATTTCTTATTAATTCACAAGAATTTAATGTATGTTAATTTAACTTAAAAAATGAAACAATATTTATTTTCGAAATTAAATTGTATTGTTTATGTATAACATTTGTTTTATTGCCCTTGACTTCCATTTAAACGTTAATGACATTTAACTTAAAATAAATAATTGTATTAATCAGCTTAGGAAATAATTGGTTGTTGGATATATCAACTTCATGCCTGTATAAAACTAGCTGACTACTCTATGAGTAGAAATATAAATGTGTCAGGGTGTTTTGAATTTTAAAATACTGTGGGTTGTTCCTAACATGTCTGTTTGCATGTACCACCTTTGATAGCTATTTTATTATATTTTTTATCCAGTAAATCTGTGTTTCCTCTGCATAATTCCCTAACATTGGTTTACCCACGAAGTTATTTATTCTTATTCCATGGATTTACTCATATTCTTTGGTTCACATTAAAACTAGCCGGTTTTAAAGACACAACTTTGTTTGACCAATTTTAGACAATGGCTGGAAAAGTAAAGTGTAAATGCCTTCGTACATTTTGGTGAAAATCTCACTATCCTATCGTAGACTTATGCACAACATAGTTACTTAATTATATTGCTGATAGAAAATGGCAATGCCACCCTCTCTCGTCTTACCCTGGGCGAAAGAACTCATTAGACGATACTCCTCTCCTATAAGAGTTTGAGATTGGGGCAACTTTACGGCATGGCAGAGTTAACAGCAGCTAAAATTATGAAAATGATGATCTACAGTAAAAAAAATATTGGTTTGCTTTTTTTGTTCAAAGTCTCATATAACAATAGTCATTAGCAGTTCTCTTGGTAACTTCATTGTATACTCAGATTTTATATTGATGTGATTCAACAGGTCCTTGCCAAACTTACAAAATAAGTGACGACCTCATTTCATCAGCACTGCTCTTCAAAAGCTGATGTTGCCCATGTAGTTCCAATGTAACCATAGCTGATCCTGATGATGGGGTGTCCGGAAATACGAGGGGAGCAATCAAATTCGTAGTTTATACTTTTTTTTTTTTTTTTTTTTTTTTTTTTTGTGAGGGGAAAATCATCAAATGACTTCTCCCGCCCAGGGCCGGGCAGGAGGGAGTGTCAGACTCTTACTGACTAAAAACCCCCCTGTTCCTTCTCCTGCTCTGTGCCGAGGTCGCGGTACCTCATTGCGCTTACCCCGCAACCCCGGCTGAACATCAGCCCTTTAGGGCCCCGTCTGTGGTGGTCTATTGGCTCTTTGAGGCGCGCGCGGAACGCTACGCGCCGTACGCTCGGGCCTGGTTCTGGTCGGGCGGCGAGCTGCCCTTACTCGCCGACCGCAGGCCCGTACTTACGGTGGCCGGAGATCGTCCCTCGATCCCCGACGCCCGTAGTGTCGCCAGTTGCGGCTGCTGGGGCGTGAGGAGGAGGATTGCTCCCTCACGCGGGCCGCCTCTCTCTTTGCGAGCATGACTGCTTCACAAAAGGAGGAGACGGCGTCCCAGTTCCTCTCACCATGGCCTCGACTAAGGCCGGGCGCGAGAGGTCGCCGCCGCCGATCACTTCCCTGAGGATACGGCGGTGCTCAGCCCAGGCAGGGCATACCGCTACCGTTTGCTCCACCGTATCCTCTAGGTGGTCCTCACAATGACGACACTCGGGCGTTTCCTCCCGCTGAATCCGAAACAGGAACCTACCGAAGCTGCCGTGCCCGGTAAGCACCTGCGTCAGACGGAAGGTGAGGACGCCGTGGCGTCTCTCAAGCCACTCCTCAAAGAGGGGTCTTACCGCTGCTATGGTAGCGTGCCCGGCCCTCGGTTGCGACAGTCGTTGTCTCCACTCTGCCGTGAGATCTCGCCGGAGCTCATTCCGCCACGCACTTATTTGGCGCGGCAGAGGATCTTCGCCCCGGCGACGCGCGTCTGCGCGCAAACTGTAGACGCGCGCGAGCGCCTTCGCTTCTAGATCCCACGGCGGTGATCCGGCAAGGAGGTTCGCCGCCTCCCCGGAGATCGTGCGATACCCGCGGATTACTCGTATAGCCATGACCCTCTGGGACGCGACCAGCGTACGAGCCGGCCGCCGCTTCAAGTCCGGCGCCCACACAGGGGCACCGTAGAGGGCCATGGATCGCACAATCCCCATATACAACCTCCGGCAGGAGGCGTTTGGCCCCCCGAGGTTGGGAAGGAGCCGCTTGAGCGCGGCCCCAGACCGTTCCAACTTAGGGGCCAAACGACGAAAATGCTCCGTGAAGTTCCATCGGCTGTCGAGGACGAGACCCAGGTACTTCATCGCCGACTCGACGCCGATGGTAACTCCTCCCGCCGTTACTTGGTACCCACCTGGAGGTGGCGCGCTCCGACGGCCATAGAAGCACATGGCCTCGGACTTGTGGAGCGCCACCTCGAGTCCCAACTGCCGGATCCTTGCAACGACTGTCGCAACCGCTTGTGACATCAGGTCGGCCGCCGCCTGATGCGACCTCCCGTTCGCCAGCACCAGCGTGTCGTCAGCATAGCAGACAATGCTGACGCCGCTCGGGAGGTCGGTGCGTAGCACCCAATCGTACCCGATGTTCCACAGGAGAGGTCCCAGGACCGATCCCTGTGGGACACCGCGCGACACCTCTCGCCGATTCCACACGCCCCGGTGACCGGGGTAGATGACGCATCTGTCCGTCAAGTAAGCCTCGACTACACGACGGAGATAGGCAGGCACCCGGTGATACCGGAGTGCCTCCAAAATGCAGCTCCAGGGGAGCGAGTTAAAGGCGTTGGCGATGTCCAGAGACACCGCCACGACGACTCGCCTCCCGGCCAACGCTGTCCCCGTCGTGAGGTCCCTCACGCGCATGATGGCGTCCACCGTGGAGCGCCCTCTTCGGAAGCCGAACTGGCCGTCCGCTAAATCCGGCCCCCTTCCAGACAGGTGCCCGACGAGGCGGTCTGAGATTATCCTCTCGAACAGCTTTCCCACCTCGTCGAGCAGCACAATGGGCCGGTACGCGGACGGGGAGTCCGCAGGACGCCCCGGCTTCTTCACGAGGACCAGTTTACCCGTCTTCCACGACAGCGGAAACTGGCCTCTCTCCAAACATGCGCTGAACAGACCAAGTAGTCGAGGCCTGAGAGCCTCCGACGCCAGGACCCAGACCTTGGCATGCAGCCCGTCAGGTCCTGGGGCGGTATTCTTGCCGCTCAGCCGGCGCACCGCCACTCTCAAATCTACCTCGGTCACTTCCGGAGCGGATTCGTCTTCGTCGTCGATGTAGCCCGCATTGGGCACCGCAGGGGGCGGGGGCATAGCCGGAGGCGTGTAACCCGTCTGTGGTCGGGGGAATAGCGCCCCAACCACTTCGTCCACGACCTCCGGCCGGAGACTCTGAGTCAGTGGGGGCGCCCAGGTGCGGAGCTTATCACGCACCATCCGGTAGGGGCGTCCCCACGGGTCTCTGTTCAGAGTCTCCAACATCTCCTCGCGGGCCCGATCTTTGGCCCGCCGGATCTCCACCCTGAGGGTGGCCTTCGCCGCCCTGTACTCCTCGTATAGCTCCGCCTCTCTGGTTTCAGCGTCCAGAGGGCGGAGACGGAGCCTGCGGTGCCTGGTGTATCGGCGTCGCGCTGCGGTGCACTCACCGCGCAGGTCTGCCAATTCCCGCGACCACCAATACACCTGGCGCTTGCGTTGGCACGGTCGGATCCGGGGCATCGCCACGTCGCACATCCTTGACATGGCGTCCTGGAGCCATCTCGCCTCCTCGTTAATGTCGGCTGGCCTGACCGGTGGTATCACCCAGGCCTGCACGACTGCGGCTTCCAGGAAAAGCTCCCGGTCCAGTTGCCTAAGCGCCCAACGCGGGCCACACGGGGCCTGTCTGACTGGCGGGTCTGCGGACTCGGCGGAGACGTCGAACCGTATATACCGGTGGTCCGAAAACGTCTCCACCTCCTCCATGACGCGCCAGTCAACAACGCGCGATGACAGAGCGGGGCTGGCAAACGAAATGTCCACCACTGACTCGCCCCGCATCCGTACGCACGTGGGGACAGAACCCCGGTTCAGCACGACTAGGCCTGTCTCCAGAGCCCAGTCTTCGACCATCCTTCCCCGGACATCAGTGAGCCGGGAACCCCAAGCCAAATTCTTGGCATTGAAGTCCCCGAGGACCAACACGGGGAGGGGACGGAACCCGACGACGACGGTGACTAACTCCCTGAGGGAGTTGTGGAACTCGACGAGAGTTCGGTTCGGAGAGAAGTACACGCCCACCACGGCGATCTCTCCGAACCGAGCCGCGACGCAACCCCTGCCTCGCTGAGGCCCTTCGGGGGTTGGGGTACCGGCGGCGGCCGACGAGATGATGGTCACCGAGCCGTCCAGGTCTGACACCCAGTGTTCCCTGGCTGGAACGAAGTACGGCTCGGAGACCACAGCAACATTGATCGACCACTGCGCCATGCTCTGGAGCAGGAGATCCTGAGCAGCGACGCAGTGGTTGATGTTCGCCTGGAGGAGGCGTAATGGAGCCATTATTGGGTATCCATCACGACCTCCTCTCTGACGGCAGCGGCGACAGCAGCAGTCGCAGGGGTGTTGGCGACTGCGGCGGCAGCGGGAGCGACGGTGGGAGCGGTGGAGGTGGCTACGGGCCTACCTTTGCTCCTGGGCTTGGTGGGGGGGGAGCAGGTTTTGCCCCCAGCCCGGTGATCGGCCGGCTTGCCAGCCGCCGCACATACTACGCAGTGCGGCGGGGCGGTACAAGCGCCGGCCCTGTGACCGGGCTGACCGCAGCGGAAGCAGCGGTCGCTGCGGTCCACCTCTGAGGTGCA